CTTTTTTTTTTTTTTTTTTTTTTTTTTCATACTAGGGATGGATCTCAGGACCTTGCACTTGTGAGACAGGAGGCAGCAACACTGAGCTAAATCCCCAGCCTGGTAATAACATTCTTCCATTCTAAATTATGGTTTATATATGGATAAGGGAGACTTTAGAAAGACAAAAAATGCAACAGTAGCTTCCACTTCCCCTTCAGGTATTTTAGGATTATTTTTGTGTACCAGCAGACCATAGAACTCTTTCCAGTACCTGTTAAAGCATCTATGTGTACTTGCTAACAACAACAACAAAAGTCATTTGGAAAGGCAAGTACCAATTTACATAAGGCAAGGCCTTTGTGTGTGACTCACATTCCTTTTTCATTCTGACAGGCAAGAAACCGCAGGTTTCATTTTCCAGTCCTTATTAAAAATGTGATCCTGGTTGTTTGGAAGGCTCATTAGTGCCATTGCTTTGTGATGGACCACAGATCTTTATAAAAAAAGATGTGTTTGCACGGATGCCTTAGTAAACCAGCCATAATGAAAGCCAAGTGCATCCCCCACAGGCCACAGAATTTAGATCTTCATTTGCTTTTGTGAAAAATGGAGAGTCAAGACCAGGGGCATTTGAAAACACAGCTAGCATCTTGTTTGCTCAGTAATAGGAGAGCTGTACCATTGCATATGTAACTTTGAGGGAAAGTATAGGAAGAAAGAGTTAACCATGCAATACTTTGCAACTACAGCATTGTGACAAGACCACCACCATGCTCAGAAGGGCATCAGCAATTGCACAGGAGGAAACCTAGCGATGCGCCAGCTCATCAGAGGTGAAGTGCCGTTCTTTTGCACGAGAGTGTCCAAGGCATTTAATTTAATTCTCTAGTCTAGTTTCCCCTTCCAAAAAAGATAGTCATATGATGTCTTTTTCTAGGTCACCAACTGCCAAAACTTTTGCATATCTAAGTTGGATGCAAAATTCCTTTTCAACAAAAATGAAGTCATAAGAATAACCTTGAATGATAAAAATAGTAATATTTCAGATCTTGGAGGATATGAAGCAAAACTGCTGCTATTCAGTAATCCAGAGCTCTCTTAGTTTTTTATAATAAATGTGGTTTTCCACCTCGAGTGAGTTATGGGCATGTATTTCCTAGTATTGGCATCCTCAAACAGAGGATGACTCCACAGGGTGGAGAACACCCTGGCCTTCCTGTCCCGAGGCTGTTGCATCTTGGAGCCTGTCACTTACTCACAAGGGGAACCAGATGAAACATGTAACCTCACTGGGCCATACATGTTATCCACGTTGAGTTGGCATTTAAACATAAAGGTGAAAAATAAAACATAGGCAATGGACTTCTAGAATTAATTAGACCATCTATACCAATCTCTTTCTTTTTATGTGAGCAAATTTAAACAAAAGAGAGTTAAGTAACGTTACCAAGGACACTAGTGTCCAAGTACTAAAAATGAAATCAAAGCCAAATTTTGTAATGAGATAATTTGTATTTTATTTTTAGTATTTAGTAGTTATAAAAATGAAAACTAAGAAATAACATTTATATCTAATTAAACTGAAATCCAAACACTTAAATGACTGCATAAAATAAATAGTATTTATATTGCATATCATATCTCTCGTGAAGGTTTACTTAAAAGATCCTGGCTGAAAACACAATTATATTTTCTGGGTTTGCTCTACTCATTTCATCTATTATTATAAAATATAAAAAGATTCAGCACATAATATATTTGTACAATTTTATCAATGGAATACAATTATCAATGGGATTTAGGAATGGAAACTTTCTAATTTTGTTATTGCATTGCCTTATTTATCAAATCCATTGTTTTATTAACAAATTAGATCAGTGTTTGGTTTTAAGTTTATGAAGATTAATATTTTCTGAAGATCTTATCATCTTTAAAAAATAGAAATCACTAAGCACAGGGCTAGAGATTTAGCTCAGTGGTTCCACCACTGCATCACAAGCACAAGGACCTGAGTTTGATCCCCGGTACCAAAAATAAAAAAATAAACAACTAAGCACAATATGGTATCGTGAAACAGGAACTAACACCAATGAGGGAATCAAAAGATTCCAAATAGAGTCTGTAGTTCATAGTAAAATATTAATGTTGATTTCCTAGTTTTGAAAAATATTTCATGATTAGATAAGACATAGACTTTAAGAAGAGTAGATATTAGAAATTTCTCTTCACTATTTTTGCAACTTTTAGGTAAATCTAAAATTATTCTAAAACAAAAAGGATGTGTAGAGAGAAAGAGAGAAATAAGAAATATTGGTAAAGTTTCGAGAGAGCATGCTGAACCAATGCAAACAGACTTAGTTGATCAATAAATTGTAGAAGATGATAGTTTCAGGAAAGAAGGTGAGAGGGAATTGTTCCAACTCTTCATATCTTCAGCAATATGGGGCCATACTTCCCCAAACTCATAGTTTAGGTATTTCCTTTATTTATCCACTAAAAACTAAGAAAACAGTATGATATATATTCTTAGTTTTACTGTTTTATGGATGAGTAAACTGATCCACAGGATCTGATCGTGTTGTCACTGGGCTAAGGCCACGTGGTTAATATACTATGAAGATGTAATTTAAACTAGATTCTAGTAAACACCAGCTTTTGTTGAAAGCTAATGATGTGCTTCCCTTTCCATGAAACTCTGATAAGCCTGTGCCCTGCTGTGTTTTGTATGAGCCGCTGGGAAATTTTTCTGTTCATTGTTCCAGCAGCCCTTTTAGCCTTTCTACCTATGCAGGACACAGTACTCAGGATGGACTTTGGAACGATTATTGGTCTGTCCTCACAGTCATATCTCATGAACAGTGGCTAAGGTGAAAAAAAAAATCTCTCTTTTCTTCATATTTTATCACCTGGGACCCAAAGTGGAGTCTCACCAAGTTTTTCCTGATAAATTCCTTCACATTTTAATTACAGCTCTCTCTGAGGCTCCAAACCAGTCAAAGGGGCAAGACTGGATAGTAGACACATGACCCTGTAATTAATTCTTTTCATTTTACTGCTTTGCCTTATTGTAGCGCTCTCTTCTGTGCCCGTCCCCTCGGCTTTTAGGAAGCTTCCTCTGCACGTTGACTCACACAAAATGGGCCTCAGGGTGTCCAGACCAACGCACCAGCTGACCAACAACTCCAAATCCAGGCTTAAGCTCAGCTAGGAACCTTATTGTATAAGTTAATATACTGGGCGAGCACAAGAAGAAAAGATGGTATTCCTGTGAACTTAAATTTCTGTACCTTTTAGGTTTGATTTCTTGAAGCTTTCTGAGAGAGGCTAAATATCCATGATTAACAGCATCTTTCTGTACATCTGGCAAAGCCTCAAGAAATATACACTGCTATTTAGCAATTTCAAATTTACAAATAGAATGAGAATTATGTTTGAAAAGGTGCAGCATTTTCCCCAAGGTAGCTCCAGCTGCACGTATATCTGTATTTCCCAACCACGCTAAAGCAGCAGTCCCAGGAGACACAACTCATTAAATGATAAAATATGTCTGCATCTGCAGATGAGCCCAGCCCGAGTGCCACTGTGAGAATTAAATGAGATGATGTGAAAACACTTGAAAACACCAGCATCTTATCATGATAAACCATTTTTGTTACTGAAGTAGGGCTTCCTCATCTCCTAAAACTGCTAAGATGAAATGATCTGGTGAGATATAATTGGCATTATTTTCCTCTTCCTTTTTTTTTTTTTGTGATCATGCTCAAGGTGAGGGGCAGTATAGAAAAACAGGTCATGTTCTTGGCTTAAAGGGTCAAAAAGTTCATTCCTCTAGTAAATCCATGAAGTGAAATTAGAAATATTTAAAATAATGTAGGGAGATATTTTTTTCTCCTGCCTCGAAGCCCAGTTTTAAAAAGATCATTCAGGCTTGGGGGAAAGAAGAACTGATGTACAAAAGGCCTTACTGGTCCAGGTGGCCGGCCCACCTGTGCCTTGTCTTTGAACCTCTAAGTCCCTCAGAAAGACAATCTAAATCCAAGCAAAAGAGACGGATGTACCTTGCTACCCTGCCGGGGTGAGGGGCTGCATAGGAGTGCCCAGGAGGAAAGCCTGAGAACTTCACGGAGCCCCAGCAGGATACTGTGAACTGCCAGGACTTTCTGTTCTTCCCATTTCTCCTGTACAGCTTTAGTTTTTCATTTCTGCACCAAACTAAAGATCCTCAGAGCCGGATGGAGAATCCACCCACAGATGAGTACTTGTACCCTTGGATTCCAAACCCAGACCCATGCAGGGAAGAAACCCCTGAAGGCCAACAAGTGGCTGACTTGTGTCAGCAGATGCCCGCACAGGGTAGTCTACTCCAACCACTGACCCCACACCATCAGGTCATTGCCCCAATGACCAAAGAGAAGAAAAAAGAGAGTAAACATTTTTATTTTCCCTTAGTTTAAACTGGAAGTGAAAAAAAAATCCCTGAATTTGACTGAAATTACTTGAGTAAGGGGAAAATATACATTTCCAGCCATCAGGAAAAGTGATTCTGGCTTGAAACAAAGCCTAAGATTAATTATATTAAAATAAATTACTTTTTGCTCATTCTGTGCATACTGATGTCTGCTATAGTACTATTTCTGACAAAGCCAAATTACATGAAATGGGATAGAAATATTTTCCTCAGAGATTCTACTTCAGAATTCTCACATGCATTTATTCTGTTTGGATCCCAATAGCACTGGCTCTGATGCTTTCCCTAATCCATAAATATCATCAAGCCAATCAATGAGATTTTCAAAAAGGAAAAAAAAAAAAAAACTACTAAACCAGTGCAAGGGTCCTTTCCATAGTATCTACTTAATGACCACTTTAATAACTTTATTTTTCATTTATTCCTCTTACCTCATCACCATAACTTATGGATCCTGCCTAAACTGTTTATTCTGTTGAAGTCTTTCTTTCTAGAGGTACCAACATATAAAACAGAAACACAAATAGCTAGAAAAATAAATTCTATTTTTACTTTTGTTGCTCACAGTTACTGAATTCTCCTGCCCCACCTTGGTGGAGGGATGTTTTTTCCTTCCTGCACCCGAACTCCAGGAAAGGTACTTGCTTTGCTGGACTGGTCGTTAATGGATGTCCCACAAAGACAGGGTCGGCAGGTGCTCAGGAGCAAGAATCAGTTTTGCTGTCTTATGCTGCTGATTATCATCATTAGAAGAGCATCCTCGGAGCAGCTGCTGCCCCTTCATCCTGGGCCCAGAATAAACATTTGGAGCTGTTCTGTGCTCAGTCCTCGAGCAGGGACCAATTCCAGCTGGATCTGCAATTTGAAGCGGAGCCGTCTAGTTGTATTCACTCTACATCTGCCCATCCCACGAGTATGTGGGCAGCCCTCCGTTATTGTTTGGCATCCAAATTTCCAGTTGGTTTTGTAAGTAGCAGTAGCTCATCATGCAGGACCCACGGGCATCATTTGATTTTTAACCTTCAGCTTGTGATAGTAAATTTGCCAGGGGAAGCTAGGAGAGCGAGAACACCCTGCTCACCGGACTGATTCATGTCCATGTCCACTGCCTGAGCATGCTTTACGTTTCAAATCTTCAGCAAGAGAGAACTGTGTTTCCAGGAGCCAACTCCACTCCTAAAAGTAGAATCCACAGCTCACCATGATGTCCGGGATCTTCTTAGGAGATGCTCCGTCTTAAATGAGGTGCTCCCTCCCACAGTAAAGATTACTCATGTTTCAGCCTTACAGTAGCAAGGTGGGATTGTCCCGTCCTCTCAGCAGTATCCCGCTGTACTCAACTGAATCTCAACCGAATCCATCGTGAAAAATACAAAGAAGAGACCTCACTATTTCCTCTTCCGCCTCTGCAGTTTTGAAGGCAAGCGATAGCAAACCACGAGCATGGTAGACACACGACGGTAATGATGATATTTTGGTACCGTGCACGCCTGACATAAACGCTGTTATACCTATGTAATAGAAGGCGAGGACGTCTGGTCTGTGTTTGGAAGAGGAGCTGGGAGCGGAGGGAGTAAAAAGGTGGCTGGAACTGAAACTATGAATGGATAGCAAGGATGAAAAGAGAATTCCTCTCCTTTCTACCATGTCTCTGCATCACCCCGAGATTTGGAGACCTCAGATGTTATCAAATACAAAGCACACACAGGCCAACACCAAAAAAAAAGAGTAATAAAACAGAGCAAAATGTGGCATGAAATGTGGGGATTGTTCTCTTAACTCTACCTTTAAACAGACGCGACCTATGTTTTCTCTTAGGGATACGATTATTTGCCAGCTTTTTTCCAATAGATAATAAACATTCCAAGTAGAATTGTGGTAATTTTATGCGCACTACCAGAAAATGAAATACAAAGAGTAAAATGAAAATGCATGTGATATGCACCAAATCATGTGGTGTATGCTTGTAAGAATAAAAATTTAATGTTTTAGAAACATTTAAAGGAATAACACAGGCTGCATTTTCACTGTGCTATGCTTAAGGAATTCCCATTGAAGTCAATGGGGTTTTACATAAAAATCAATGCAAATTATGGCCTTTAATGAAAGAAGAAATTATAATTATAGCACTGCTGGTACTATCACTATAGTTAAGGCTGAGCAGTCTTTTCCAGTGTCACTTATCAGGATTTAATAGCTCAGTTGTTTTGAGTTCCACTTCGCAGAATTATGATATATAATGCATTGGGGTGGGTGTAATTATTGTTGTTGTTGTTGTTATTATTATTATGTAAATAAATATTTTAATCAGTGCAACATTTTCTAATTATGACATTCAAAGAAAATATTTTTGTCTAATGACAGGTCATGTCAGGAATGGGAAAAGAGAAAGAAATAAGGAGACATGTTTGGAAGAAGACAGACTGAATGTGGCAGGGCCCTCAGTTGGAACAACTCCCGTTCTGTAAGTGTGAGGCCCAGTCTGAATTTCTTAGAGGAGCAGCACTGCTGAAGCCTCAGGAGGGCCACACACTGGCTCCCCTCACCTTACTTTCTACTGTCACGATGACCGTTATGCAAATAGATTAGATAGCAATGGTCCCCAGGGCTCCCAGAGTTTCTCAGCACCACTGGTTAATGCCAGTTTTGCTTTTATGCATAAAAATCATCTTTGGCTTACACCTACTATAAGATCGTTCACATGCTATAGGGATGCCACCCCTTAGATCAAAACCTTCTAATGGATCCCCAGAAGAGTTTTTACAACTACATTGTAACTATCCTTTCAATCACCCATGTGGGTGGCCCATAGGGACCAAGAACAATTATGCTTATTGCATATCATGTACGTGTAAAGAAACTAGAGCAACAAAACCTTTTTCTTCCTCAGTTTCGTCCACCCACACCAGTTTCTGGCAAATGGGAAGGCCACCTACAGCTCTGTACATTGGAAATGTTCATTACCAAGAAAAATGGGTCAATCAAATAAAGACAATGTGGGAGGGAAAGGAAATGATACCTGGACAGTGCCTGTTATTTTATTATATGCATTATGCACTTTAACTTCATTATCCCACTTAATAATCCTTATAACCACCCTCTGGTGCATTGTTTCATTTTTATCCTCATTTTACAAAGAATAAAAAAATGAAACACAAAGAAATTAAGTGCTTTTCTTCATCTGGCTCAGTTAGTAAGCTGCAGAAATGTCCTTTAGTCTCGGTCTTGCTAGATGAGTTTAGGACTAATTCTTCTTCCTTTCCAAGTCCATATTCTCATTCTTTTCTCAACACTGACCTGCAACACTTCCATCCCCTTCTTGCAAGAAACTGCAACACTACACCATGACCTGGGTAGTTTGAACACCAAAATTTTGTTTTCTCACAGTTCTGCAGGCCAAAAGTCCAAGATCAGAACTTCAGAATAGTCAGACTCCAAGGGATGCTCTCTTCTTGGCTTAGAAACAGTTCCGATGGCTCTTCCTCTTCTTACAGGGCACCGGGTCTGCTGACTCAGGGCTTCTCTTTTCAGTCTCCATTTCACCTTAATCATCTTTTAGAGGCCTTTTCTCCAATATCATCACTCACATGAAAGGTTGGAACTTCAACAGGAATTTTGATGGACACGATGCGGTTCATCGCAGCCTCTATAGAAAAAGTTGGCCACTCCTGACCTTCCAGTCCACTGCCCACCTGTACAGTGCAGATGTTTCACTGGCATGTTGTTCAACGCCCCAGAATACATACTCACTTTCCATAACAAGAATCACCTTATGATCTTTCCATTTTTTGTCTCTATGAAGATATGAAGGTTACACACATGAGAGAGGTTACTTCAGGTTTTGAATTTTGACCCTTTCCTGGAATAGCAATGTACACTACACTACTCTTTCATGATTCTGGACTGTAGCAGGGACCCACAGCTCCCATTCCATCATGCAATCATGAAAGCGAACAACCGATACTCTACAGGAAACTGTGGTACTGTGGCAAGATAGGTGTATTAACTGCTTGTACTATTTTAAACTTGTGGGCTGGGGATTTAGCTCAGTGGAACCACATCTGCCTTGCAAGCCCAAGGTCCTGAGTTCAATCCCTAGTACCACAAAAGAAAAAAAAAATGTTGTGATTGGTTTATCAAAATTGTAGCCCTGTTAAATGCCAAAGAGCATCTGTATATCTACAAATCATAGGCAGGAGCCAGATTAGTAACAGCCACAATGTGAGTTACAAAATACTAACCACTTATTTTGATTAAATAACACTGTCCCTTCTGTTCTTACTTTAAAATACATTGTTAGAAAAAGAGAAGAAAATACTTAAAGGTGGACTGTACATGGTTATCTCCTTTGTTTTCATATTTATGCTTGGTATAAAAGAAAAATCACTATTAATAAGAATCGTAAAATCCCTGTAAGAGGCTTAAAGGAATAAAGCAGATCTATAATGAAGGATGAAAGACTAAGAATGCTTTTCCCAACACACACACACACACTCTGTTTATTTTCAGCCTTATTTATTGTTTATCAAATTTTCAGAAGCCATTTTACAAAATGCATTTCTTTTCTAAAGTCTTACAAAGCTGTAAGAAATGAGAAAGGTGAGTGATTATCCCCCAAAACCGAGGCCACTCTTGTCCATGACTAGAAGACTAACCAACTCAAATGTCATCTGTGTATTTGCTCTCCCATGATAATTGACAGTATTTAGAAATAATAATCTCTCAAGCATTTTTTCGAAACCAAGTGTTGATTTTTTAAAAATGAAACAAAGACCATAACATTTTCGTGAATATTAAAAATCTATGCATGCACAAAACACTATATACTTTATAAGTGTTCATACACTGTCAAAGGAAATATCAAATACATTAGGATGAATACCCATAAAGGAGATAAATTTGAAGGTTCAAGAAAAGGAAAAATACATAAAACTAGAACGGGGTCTGAAAGTGATGTAACCCAGGAGTTTAAGTACTTTGGATAGATGTGTCTGAGGAAGCGTGTAAGGAAAGAGGAGATGAAGAGGGCGGTAGGAAGAAAATTCAGCGTGGGAGCAGAAGTAGAAAAACAGTGATAGCAAACAAAACTCTCTCCTGACATCTTCATTTCCTGGAGTTTGGTCCTTGTGCTCATGGAATACTTCTTCAGCTTGGACTAAATGCACAATAGAAACTCAGGGTATTAGGATTCGAGAAGCAAATAGCACAGGCTAAGACTGGGTAGACATCAAACTCAGAAGCTGCCAAACTGTCTTTTATTTTAACGGAGCCTGAGTCTACCGTGACGTATCCATGCCATCTACTGGTCCTTTCAATTACTGGTCTTTCCCAAACTCACACTTGCTGTTTGGCTTTGTACAAATATTTGAAAATTATTTGGAGCAGTTTTCTCTCTTGATTATTCAGTTTCTTGCTTAAGATATCTTTCCTGAAGCAACCTCTTGCCCTCATACCGGTAGGCCGGTGGCACCACTGAGCTAAATCTCTGGCTCCCCAAGTAGATCTTTAGAAGGTGAAATGCTGTTGAGAGAATAAAGAGTCTGTGCTGACTACTTGGGTCTGAATGTCACTGGGTGCCCTCGACTGACCTTTCTATCGGGCTTCCAGGCAGGTTCTGTTCTTCAAGACAAAGTACTAGTACCCAGTTATGCCTATCTTTCACTCCTCACTATTGAGTTCTGTTTCTTAGTAACCATAGAATGTTAGTTTTCTCAAAATTGGAAGTAGCAACATCAGTGTGAGATGAGATGATTTCTTAAAAGCAGGCTTTGCTCTAAATGAGGCATAGGTGATGCCGGTTTTGATTAATGAATATAGTAAAAAACTCAGAAACTCTGCAACGAATACTTTCATAGAGAAAATAGAACTGACAATATTCCAACAGAGGAATAGACTCACATGCGGTGAAGTTTAAAAAAACAATAAATCAAAAAGCTAAACCTTCATTCCAATATTAGGATAAGAGAACCTGCCCATAAAGAACTGATAATGCAACAAAAAGTTTAGCAACGTTTTTGTGCTTTGTGGAGCAAAAGGAATCCTTAAAGTCTTGCATAATATAATAAACAACATAGATTTATGGAAAGTGGGCAAGATTCAGAGTACAAACAAAAAATAATCCTACAAGCTGAGAATCTGTTGCTATGGTTATTTGTTTTACTGTGATTTTTCCTTTCCAATGTGCCCTCGCCACTTGCTTATTTTATTTCTTCCTTTCTAGATTTTCTTTTATCTCTGTCACTTGAATTAAGAAAATAATTGCTTGTTAAGACTATACATGTCCCATAGGATGAATTAAATGTAAAAGAAGTCAGAATAAGATATGACACATATAAGATATGAAACTGAAGAATTATTTGATGAACTTTATTAGAAATAAAGAAGCAATTTATGGTAATTAGGGTAGCAAATGAATAATAACCATGTGATGTCATACAAGGTTTACCATATATGTGGAATTAAAATATATGACAAATGAAGACCATAATGTGGGTGTGCATGAAAGAGCTGAATGAAGCTCATTCCAAGTTTCTTACATCATCCATGGAGTTGATAGAGTACTCATCTGTGGTACACACTCACAAGTCCATAGAGAACGTAACCTTCAAAATTATACTAATGAGAGAACATAAAAGTTGTATTAAATAGCTATGAAGACTTCTAGTTGAGGCAGCGGCAGAACCACTGAATCAAATTCCAGCCCCTGAACAGCTAACTATGGAGAAGAGAAATAATTAAAATAGTCCAAAATAAGGAAAAAAAGAGGGAAATGGGAAACAAAGAACAAATGAAGTAAAAATGATTAAACAATGGACCAAACATTCACATAATAATTACATTAAATGTAAGCAGATGAAATCTTCTGATTAAAAGAAAGAGACACAGTTAAGTTGTGTGTAAAAACTCAGTGGTTACAACTTTAAAAACTTTTTTAAAAACTCAGTTGTAGTCTGTTTACAAGAAGCATTCCTTAAAAATAATAATATAGAAAAGCTGAACATAAAATATTACAGAAATTAAACAAATAATGTGGTACAGTTGTACCAACATAGAGTAGATTTACATAGAGTAGATTTTTTTTTTTTTTTTTTTTTTTTTTTAGGTACCAGGGATCAAACTCAGGACCTTGCACTGGTGAGGAAGGTGGCGGCACCACTGAGCTAAATCCCCAGCCCTAAAGTAGATTTTAAGTTCAAACATATTAGAAGTCAAACATATTAGAAGTAAAGATGGGTGCTTAACAATAATGAAAGACTTAACATGACATAGCAGTCCTAAATTTACATGTTTCTAATAATAAAGTTTCAACTATTATGCAGCAAAAACTGGCAAGCTCTCTCATAAAAACAGAGAAAGTCACATATATCCTTGGAGATTTTAATACATTTGCTTTAATACTTTGTAACATTTGGAAATTGATATGAAATTCTAAGGAATCAATCCCAGTAGAAATCAGAATGTACTTAAGACTGAACGACAAGCATAACATATTTAAATTTCTGGGGTGCAGGTTAAGTGCATGAATGATGAAAGGTTACAGCTTTAAGTGAATACATTAAAAAACAGAAAGGCTGAAAAAATAACAATCTCATGTCCACAAGAAGCTAGAAAAACAGCTGTAAATCAAACCCCACAAAAGTAAAAAGGAAATAAATAATAAAGACAAGCGCACATGTTAGTTGAATAGAACAAAAATATATAATAGAGAAAATGAGCATTATCGAATACTAACGCTTTGATTTTTGCAGGAAAATTTTATAAAATTTACATGGACAACATACTAAATGTTGGGAGCCATTCTACATAATTTTGAGGACAAAATATTTCACAATTAAACTATGATTAGGGCTAGATGAGGTCTAGTCTTCTTGCCAGCAGGCCGCTATCACATGCCAAAACCTAACTCCATTTTGCCTCCTATCACAGATGAGACGTCAATGGTCCCACGATACTGTGATGCTCAAGGGCATGATCACATCAGTTGAAGACATCCTGGGTCT